GCCTCCTCTTGGATAAGCCCACCCACTYTCATGGTGAGTTGAGGCTCCCAGTCCCATCCCTGTTTCAGATTTTGATCCTATGCCCATGTCTGCGGGCCTCGGGTGACAGCATACTAGACATGTCCCCCATTCAATCATCCTTATCTAAAGCATGCCCCGTCTCTTCGTTCTCTTCCCATTGGTGGTACCGTATCTACCCAGTCCTTCTAGAATCTGGAATCATTCCTTGATTCTCCCTGTCTTCCAAACTGCTTCCCAGGGTCATCCCCTCTTCTTCACCCATCCCTCCCCCTGCCATTGGTCRGGACTCTCATTATTTTCTACCTGAAGTATCCCTGTGGCCTAGGAGCTGAAGTCCCCACTTCTGGCCTGATGCCCTCCCAGTGCCCCCATCTAGTGCCTTCTCCACCAAGGTCCCAAGTGCCAACCTCTAGCAACACTTGGGCTTAGCATCTAGGAGCCTRTAGGTTTAATCCCCAGCATCATAAAGTCAAGTGACAACCTGGACTTGTCATGCTCTACCTAAGACCTATTCCAGATCCAAGCACCTTGGCCTGATGCACAGAGCAAAAGCTACCCTTTCTTGAACCTCTGATTCATCCCTGGCCACTCTCAGCTCTGCCTCCTGGGACTTGTGGTGTGTGCTGTGCTCCTTCATGCAGCTGGGCTTCCTCTCATGCCCTGCCTGAGCTTGGTGTCCCTTTTCTTCTATTTGTTTTTGCTGCTCATGCTAAGACCCAGCTCAGATGGCGCCTCCTCTTGGAAGTCTTCCCTGAATGCCTCAGGCTGGATTAGACACCCTTCTTTTGTGCTCTTATATCAGTGCAAGCATCAGAAAATCCACTTCAAACAGACTTAAATAACAATGGAAATTGATTGGCTCCTGGAACTGAAAAATCAAGGGGTAGGGCTTGCTGCAGATGATGTGTGATCCAGGGGCTTAAAAAGATGCCCCTGGGTCCTCCCATTGCTTAGCTCTGCCTTTCTCTGGGTGGGCTTCCTTCTCAGAGTCCTTGGAGGGCATCGCATCACTTCAGACTCACATCCTGTCCAGTCCAGTCCAGTGAATCATTCAAGGAAACACGGGCTCCTCTGGACCTCACTTAGGATTTACTTGCCCCTTTCCACACCAATCAAAATGGCCGAAGGCTTACAGCGTTCTGCTCCAGGGGTTGGCAGACTATGGCTGAATCCTGCCTAGCGCTTGTTTCTGTAAATAAAGTTGTGTTGTCACACAGCCACGCCCATTTGTTTATGCATCCTTCCAGGCTATTTTTGCCCCAGTGTCAGAGTTGAAGAGTAGGGGCAGAGGACAGCAGGCTTGCTGCTCAGAGACAGTAAATATTTTAGGTGTTGAGGACAAGGTACAAAATGAAGGGGGATTGAGAGAGAGAGAGAGAGAGAGAGAACAAATTTCCATGTCATTTTTATTGATGAAATTACAATAATAATTGAATAGAACATATATATATCTGCTAATGAGAAGAATGGAATTTAGGGCAAAGAGGTAACATTTTACTTAATTGGGGTTAAAATCAATGCTCCCTATCATCAGATTGATGACAAATAATTATCTATTAAAACCATTCTTGCTGGTCATGACGGCTCATGCTTAGAAGCCCAGCTACTCAGGAGGTAGAGGCAGGAGAATTGCAAGTTCGAGACCAGCCTGGAAAACTCAGTGAGACCTTGTTTCAAAATAAAATGGATGTAACTCAGTGGTAGAGCACCTGCCTAGCATGAGAAAAACTCTAGGTGGGATCCTCAGCACCGCCCCAAACCAAACAATAAAACAATCATACAGTCCGCCATACAAAAGCAGGCAGGATTTGGTCTGCAGGCCATAGTATATTAATAAATAAAATTATTTACTTTATTATTCGAGCTGGAGCTTGAACCCATGGTGTTCTACCATGGAGCTACATCCCTAGCCACTTTCAGTCACTGAGTGTGGCAGGCATTTTGAAAGGTCTTTCTTTATAAGACAAGTTCATGTCCATTTGGCCCCTCATCCTGACAATATCCCTAAGATGTAGGCAGGTTAAGGGTGGCTGTGTTCTTTTCAGAAGGAAAACAGAAGCTCAGGGAGAAGGGACTTGCCCAAGGTTTCATGGCAAGGCTTCTCTGGGACACCTTTGAATATTCTAAGGCATCGSTCTCATAAAACATGCCTTGTTGGTTCATTGAACAGGTGTGGTGGCCCCTGGCTGGGGGCACAGAGGCAGAGAGAGAGATCCAGGTTGGTTGGATGATGGCTTGGGAGGCTACTTCTCCAGATGGCTATGTGTCACCGGTGGTCTACAGGGACGGGTCTGGTCCACACAGCTGCTCAAGAGCTCACTGTTGCTTCAAGAATCTCTGGCTGGGCTGGGGCTGGGGCTCAGCAGTAGCACACTTGCCTGGCATGTGTGAGGCACTGGGTTTGATTCTTGGCACCACATATAAATACATAAAATAAAGCTCTATCAACACCTATCTATCTATCTATCTATCTATCTATCTATCTATCTATCTATCTATCTGAATCTTTGGCTGGGCTGGGGTTGTGGCTCAGTGGTTGCCTGGCATGTGTGAGGCACTGGGTTTGATTCTCAACACTGCATATAAATAAATAAATAAAATAAAGGTCCATTGGTAACTAAAAAGTATTTTAAAAAAATCTCTGGCTGGGCATACTGGTACAGTCCTGTAACCCTAGCTACTCATGAGACTGAGACAGGAGGATCACAAATTTGAGGCCAGCCTCAGAACTTAGTGAGACCCTGTCTAAAGATAAAGAATGCAGTTACAGAGATGTAGTTCAGTGGTAGAATGCCCATGAGTTCAATCCCAGTAACAAAAAGAAAAGAAGAATCTTAGCACCTAGGCCTGCCTCTCCTACTGGTAACTGCCCCATGCAGGACAGGTAATACCAGCACAGCAGCCTAGAGCTACAAGGAAACCAGGCTTTAGGCAAGAATGCCCAGAACCACACACAAAGACCCTGACCCCTCACCTCGCTGCCTCCAGACTGCAGGCCTGGTCTCATCTGGGCCTCTGAGGAACATTCCTGGGTCCTGTTGGCCAGGCTGGGGGCAGAGCTTCCCTGGCCTCCGACAGGGCTGCCCAAGGTCAGAGAAGAACTCTGGGGATGGGCAGAGGCACACAGACATGGAGGATGGATGCCGGGTTCCCGTCCAGAATGGTGAGCACGTGTGTGCACATTCACACATTCCCCGTCTCGCACGCATATTCGTACACTCCCATGGTCACACCCATGTTCACCAGGATTCTCACCTACACACACATGCATGCTCCACGATTTCTCAAACTTATTTGCACCCCGAAACTACACAACATCCATCCGCACCTGCGTTTATTTCCTGGGGTTGCTCTAACAAAGTACTACATACAGGGTGGCATCAGATAACAGACACTGTCTTATGGTTTTGGAGGCTAGGAATTCAAGTTCAAGGTTTCTCCTGAGACCTACCTGTAGGGGAGGATCTTTTCTCTTCCAGCTTCCGGTAGCCCCAGGGGCTCCTTGGCTTCCAATCTTTCACAGTGTTCTCTAGTCACCTCTGTGTCTTCACATGAACATTTTTTTTTTTCTTTTCTTTTTTCACTTTGAGACAGTGCTTTGCTAAGTTGCCCAAGGCTGGCCTCGATCCTGCGACCCTCCTGCCTCAGCCTCTCCAGTAGCTGGGATTACAGTCGTGTGCCACAGCCCCAGGCGCTTAAGGAAGTCTTATAAGCACACCAGTCCTCCTGTATCTGGGCCACACTACTGCAGTACCAACTCCTAACCAATGACATCTGCTTGTTCCTTTTCCCAAATAAGATTGTATTCTGAGGTGCTGGGCATTAGGACTTCATTTTTTTAAAAATTTTTTGGGGGGAGGGAATGAAATTCAACACTGTGGTTAAATTGGTCATGAAACCTCACAGGCACAATACAGGATTCCCACAGTGATGCCCAGCTACAAACTTCCACATTCCCATCAGCACAAGCTCACACTTACCCAGAGATGCTACCAGGATCACCCACGCCCAATCCCAAAGTCTCCTAGTCTTACACACAGCCCTGCATGAGCCCCTAGGCTCCCCGCCCCCTGCGTCCCTGTGGCCACACTCAGAGGCCACCCCGGGGAGGTCATGCTCACAGCCCTGCACATTTGCAGTCTCACACTTGGCTCAGTCTCACATCCCCTCCCACCCACACACTCTCTCCTCCCTGACTCCTCCTCCAGCAAACAGATCCCCCAACCCACCCTCACCCTGGGCCCAGCTGGGCCACCCCAGGAAGGTCTCCTAGCCCTCTGGTATGGGGTGCCCCCCCCCCAGACAAGCCTTCCTCCTTCACAGACTCCCACTCTACCGTCTCAGGGGCAGACAGACAGACAGACACTCTGTCACACTCGCACACGCCCCTCGGCAGCCCCACGGCAGCAGTCTGTTCCTCATTATGGGCCAATGCGCCTGTTTACTCACCCAGCTGGAGATGGTTAGAGAGTGATAAATAATGAAAGAGAAAACAGGCTTTTCCCCTCTGCGGCTTCTATTTATGTAACATGTGTCACAGCGCACTCACAGACTTTGTTTCGGAGCTGGTTGCAGGAAATAGTTTATTTTTTCCKGACGGTGGCTTGAGGGGTGGGGTAGGGGGGGCCAGGGCTTGGGTTTCTGGTCTCACACCCATGGGAGTTTCGGGATCTGGGCTTCCAGCGTCCTCCTCCTCTGGTGCCACCTCCCCTGACACCCCCAGGGGGCCAGACATCATGGCTGGAGGCRGCCAAAGAATGGGGTTCTCCCACTCCACCAATTTGGAAGGAACTGGGATGGCTGGGGCCCCTCCCGGCTGCCTCTGAAACCTCCCAAACAGATGGGCTTGTTTTAAGAGCCAGACAGCTTGAAGCTAGGACTCCCTGAGAGGAGGCAGTTGGACAAGGGGCTTCCTAGGTAGCCTGCACCTGTTACGGGGGAGAGGATGCAGAAGGATCCGTTCTGTAAAATAAGAATTAAAACAAAATCCACTCCTCGTGCTCACGGACCACTCTTCCATCTGTGGTCTCTGAAGCCTCAGGACATTGGCTGCTTCTCAGGTGAGGTGACGGGTGGTGAGGGGGGCTGGCCGTGGGCTGCTCAGCTGCTTGATGGGAAGCCAGGTCTCGAGCCTCAGCCTCCAGAACCCTCACATAACCGCTGCCTCCCTCCTCCAGGGACACCTCCCTGGTGAGGGTCCAGCGTCACTCAGGCTAAGGCTGTTGGGAGTGGATATCAGGGTGCAGGGGGTAGAATGGGGGGAATGGGGGACATTAGAAATCTTGAGAAGTGCTTCCTGCCCACTCCCCTAATACTGAGTGGAGCATCTTGCATAACAAACCAGGGAAGGAGGAAGTGACAGAAAACTCCTCTGCTTACCACCCCCAGGGTAGGACAGCTTTGGGGCATTTGGAGGAATTGTGCTCTCTCTTGGGATTGTCTATGAAGGGCAGGAAGATGATATCTTCATTTGACACGGAGCCCCACTGTTCCCCCAGGACACTGCTGGGGGAACCCAGAAGAACCAGAAACTACCCTGTTTTCTGCAGATCCCACTGTGGAAAATGGAACTGGGAGCCCCAACCCCTACCAACTGTTGGGGAGGGGTAACAGGGGCAGGGGCAGAATCCTGCTCAGTGGCTCAGAAGCTTCTGCAGGGATGTCCCACAGGGATCTCCTGGATTGGGGAAGGAACGGCCACATTCCCAAGACGAGGACTTTTAACATTAATTTAAGAGCAGATAGTGCTGGTTTAGTGCAAAAGAGACAAAGCCCAAGAAGATTCTTTTCAAATTGAATGCATGTCAGATACAGAGAGAGCTTCTCAGAGGCTGATCCCCAGGCTCCCTCTCCCAAGGTGGTGATTCAGCAGGTGGRGGTGTCTAGGAATCAACCTGCTGAACAAGTTCCTGGGAATTGGGAATTCTGGGACTGGTCATTTCCCAAAGACTTGGGGACAACATTGCCCTAAGTGGGCCCTGGAGGCAGCCACCCCCCACCACCCACTTCCACCCGCCAACATCACCACACATAAGCTGAAATGGAGGCACATCCATCACAGAAGCTGATCAGAAGGGAATTTGACTTCCCTCAGTGTGGAAGCAGTCTGATCAGAAGAAGGATAAAACTGGTTTAGAAGGAGGAAGGGAGGGAAGGAAATAGAATTTGTCAGCACCTAGTAGGTACCATTTTTACCTGGCTGCTTTTTAATTTTTGCCATTCGTACCCATTTCTGGAATCTAAAACACTCAAACATTCTATTATTACCAAGTAATGCTCACAGGCATGCATACCTTATCAGAGAGACAGCAGGGGAGTTCTGTGTATCTTAAAGCATTTGCTCCGTGCCTGGGATGTGCCAGGACTTCACACGTGTTTCTTGATGTTTGCCACATGGTAACACTGATGGCAATGCTATCCCCAGTTTACTAATGAGAACACAGCCTCAAAGAGGTTTAGTGACTTAATTTTTTTTTTTTTTGTATTTGTAGATGGACAGAAACCCTTTATTTTAATTGTTTATTTTTATGTGGTGCTGAGGATCAAACCCAGTGCCTTACACATGCTAGGCAAGCACTCTATCCCTGAGCCCCAGCCCCAGCCCCAGCCCCAGCCTGTGTTAGTGACTTTTATAAGGCCACCCCACTATGCAAGTCTTGGCAATGGGAAAAGCTGGTGTTTTAATTTTTTTTAATTTTTTTGGTACTCCCCAGTAATTGAACTCAGGGTGCTTAACCACCAAGCTACATCCTCAGTCCTTTTTATTATTATTATTATTTTTTTATTTTGAGACAGAGTCTCGCTAAGTTGCCCAGGCTGGCTTGGAACGTGTGATCCTCCTGTCTCAGCCTCCTGAGTAGCTAGGGTTACAGGCATGCCCCACCCCTCCCAGCACTCAGCACTCTGTTTACTGCCACAAGCAGGAGCCCCTTTGGGATTCTAACTGAGAGTCGGCATCCAGATCCTGCTTTTCAGCTCTTTCCCCAGGACTCCCTCACTGCCACTCTGTGGAATGGAGAGGATGGTAGGGAGGCAACCTCTCTGCTGCTCCCCCAGCATCTCTGTGTTGGGGTCCCTATGGATTCTCGAAAAGCCCAGCCAGCACACACCTTGAGCTCTCTCCCAGGGAGCTGAGCATTGGGGGTTGTGGGGACCACCTTTGGATTCAGTCCCCAGAGCATTTGTGGATCGGAGGAGGTCCCAGGAGGGCAGGGCCACGTGAGCCAGCTTAAGGAGCACCCTTCCTGCATGTCCAGGAGCCTCCTGCACCCCTGTCCCCTTGGCAGGTTGGGGATGGCATGAGCTAGTGGGTGGGAGAAGGGCCAACAGGGACAGCCGAAGTCTGGACGTTTGTTCAGGCTACAGGCTAAACAGGATTCAAACAGGGACTCACAGCAGCTTCACAGGGACTTCGTGCAGACCCCCATGGACACTGGCCTGCACTTCCTCATGCTCTTGTGTACCCCCTGCACAGAATGGGAATTCACGAAAACCCTGACAGAGCTCCAGACTCTTGTGTCCCTGTGGACAGAGCCCAGGTGTTCTGCACACCTTGTCTGTCTCTAACCTTCACACTGACCCTGCAAGGAAGCTGCTGTCCTGACTCTCCCAGCCTCACAGAGGAGAGAAAAGGGGCTCAGAAAAGCCAAGTGACTGGCTGCCTTTCCTGTGTCTCCCCTAGCACCCAGCAGGTGTGCAGAAGTCCACCCACCATGTGGACATACAAGTTTTCTTTCATGCAGGCTCCTGGCAAGCCCCAGATGCCCCTTTCTCCAAACACATCCTGAGCTGCGATCTCTGTAGGCTGAGAAATTCAAAGACCCCCACAGCCAGCACTTCCCCAGCACTGGTGCCAACAGYGGGAGTTCCCTGGGATCCGGCCTCAGTTTCCCCTCTGTCTCTCAGGCTCACACAYCTTGCTTTGAAGAGGCAGTGCTGGCTGGGCCCCTGCCCCAGGTCTGACCCTCACTCTGGAAGCTTCTGGGTCCAGCCACCTCCATCCTCCCTCTTCCTCTGAAACGTCAGACCTGGCACTGCCCCCCGCGGCCCCCTCTCCCTGAGGCCCCCAGGGAGCCCAGGCTTTGCTCGAGGGCAGTGAGTGAAGCCGGCTGTAACAGAGAAACCTCGGGCTCCTCTTTAGAAGTCCCCGGAGGAGGCAGATCTGAGGAAAGGCTGCCGAGAAGGCGCCTGCAGCAATGTCAGCTTGAGAACAACCGGGCTGACAGGATGCTGAGCGGGGGATTAAGGTCGGGATCAGGGAAGCCAGGGAAATGAAGGCAAGTTCCCYGCATCCCTCGCTGCCACCTCCGAAGCTGACTGTGCTGCTGGGTTTGTCTTCTTGTTTGTTCTTGCTCTGGGAAAGTGGGTGGGGAGGGAAGCAGGCAGGGGCCAGGCAGGAGTGGGGGAAGGACAGGGGAGCGGTGGACAAGGGCAGGGAGGCCTGGAGAGTGAGCCTGCGCTCTGCGTCCCAGGGCCCAGCTAGGGGCGGGGCAGAAGCACAGGTGCCTTTACCTGGAACCTTCCCATATGCTGTCCCCATCAGATGGCTAGTCTGTTGGTCAGTGGGGCTCCCAGTCATCTCCCCTGGTCCCCTTTCCCCAGGTCCTGAGTGTGGGTGGTGGGATCAGTGAGGATAGAATTGACCTCACCGTGAGGCACTCCACACCCATGAAGTGGGTGCCATACCCCATCAGAAAGGGGAGGAGCCTGTTTACACCTGTCTACAAATGCAAGATCCCCTGTTGTAGGGCAAGGCCCGGTACCAACCTGCCTTCTCACTGAAATGTCACAGGAATCCAATCAAATGGGCTGCTGATTTCTAGGTCATCCAACGCAGCAGATTCTAGTGAGACCTCAAACCCTTGCATGGTGTCATGGTAAAGAATGTCTTGGCTTCTGGTTTCAGTCTGTGTGGGCTGGAATTTTGGTTCTGTCATTGACTTGCTGTGTTACCTTGGGCAAGGTGGCTAGCCTTTCTGTGCCTTGGATAAGACTATAGCATCTTCTTATAAGGTTGGTGAGCAGAGGAAGGGAGTGAACACATGAAACTGCATGGAGTAGGGCCGGCCACAGAGGTCATGTGCCATAGGCTGGTGTATTATCATAGGGGCAGAGGGAAGGAAGAATCATGGCAACCTGAAGTCAATTACCTGAAGTCTTCCTGGAGGAAGGGAGGGTGGAAATCTAATTTTGGTGGCTAAAACTTGGCAGGGGTGGGAGAGTAGAATAGGGGTGAAGGACAGTACTCTTGTTTACCAAGTGTGATTTAAGCCCGCATCTGATGAGAAGTGGAGAGGGTGCATTCCCAAGGAGCCGCACCCCCAGTCCGTGTTTCTCCAAAGTTCCTGCTCTAACTAGAGGTATCATGATTACTCTCTCCTAGCTCTTCCAAGGGCCAGTTGAGATGCAAAGACCATGACAAGACACTGGTTTTCACAGTTCCCTTCCCCACATGGGGCTTATTCCAGAAATCCTTGCAATTCAGACTCTAGTTGCACCTGGGCTCTCTGGACCTGGTGAGGAAGGGGCAGGTAGAGAGAGTACAAACCTGGAGGCAGAGAGTCCCTGGGGCTGGGTGGTAGCTCTCCCATCCACAGCTGTTAGAGCAAGTCAATTTGCCCTTTTGGACTCAGTTGCCCAATCTGTGGAACGGAATAATAATATCCACCTTGGATTTGCAGTGTTGGGCAGTTACTTAATACACGCCCAAGGCTGATCTTCAGTTTGGTGGTTATTGAGTTCTAGCCAGGTTCCAGGTCCTAATGAATGGGCCCCTTCCCTGGCACGAAGGTGCTGGTGGTCTATATGGCTGAAGGTAGCAGTGTTACCCCAAAGGTTAACCCGGGAACCAGGCGTCTCCCCCGTCTAGGCCCCATGGTCTGCTTACCTGTAGCCCTTCCTGGGGTCCTCAACTCCCCACCCTTCTCCAGACATACTGGCCAGTGGGTTGGGGTGGGTAGAGGGTCTGGGGAGGCTGAGGGCCTAGGATGGGGTTCTAGGAGAAGGGTCTTTAGAGAAGAGTCTTTGAGTCTGTTTTTTTGGTGGGAAAACCCTGCACAGGGGCCCAGTCTCTGCAGAAATGTGCAGGGAGTATCTTGCTAGGAATTTTATCTCTGGAGAACTGATTTCTAGAGAAGATAATTTTAAAAACACCTCTTCTTTTTTTCCCTGTTAATAGCTATGTGTATTTATTACAGAAAATTTGGAAGATATAGAAAAGTCCCAGAAAAGAGAGATCAGCCCTAATCTGATCACTCAGAGATAAACCTGATAAGATTTTCCTTTTTCTTCTGTTGTTTTTTTTTAAAGTTCACCCTCACACATATGCTCATGCTTATATATGTAACTTTATTGCAGCAAAATATGCTTAATGTACATCTATCATGAACATTTTAGAAATCTGATCATGGAGGAATGAACATATCACAATTTTGTAAACAATTTTTTTTTCATTAAATAATACTCAAGAACTTCCTCTCAGGCCATTAAATATTCTTCTCAACATAATCTTTTTTCTTTTTTATGGGGTTAAGAGGTAGGGGGTACTGGGGATTGAACCTAGAATGGCTCTACCCTTGAACTACCATTTCCAGGCTTTATTAAAAGTTTTAATTTGAGCTGGGTGCACTGGCGCACACCTGTAATCCCAGTAGCTCAGGAGGCTGAGGCAGGAGGATCAAAATTAGCCTCAGCAATTTAGCAAAGCCTTAAGCAACTCAGTGAGACCCTGTCTTTTCTTTTTTCTTTCTTTCTTTATTATTATTATTTTTTGGTACCGAGGATTTAACTTAGGGGCACTCAACCACTGAGCCACATCCCTAGCCCTTATTTTTATTTTATTTAGAGACAGGGTCTCACTGAGTTGCTTAGTGCCTCACTGTTGCTGATGGTGGCTTTGAACTTGTGATCCTCCTATCAGCCTCTGGAGCCACTGAGATTACAGGTATATGCCACCACACACCGCCTGAGACCCTGACTCTAAATAAAATATAAAAAGGGGCTGGGGATATGGCTCAGTGGTTAAGCACTCCTGGGTGTAATCTCCAGTATCAAAAAAAAAAAAAATTATTTTGAGACAGGGTCTTGCTAAATTGCCTAGGTTGGCCTTGATCTCACAATCCTCAGTCTCCTGCGTCTCAGGATTATTTTCTTAACATAACCCAAGATGCCAGGACCGTGCTCCAGCTTTGGGAAGCCTCTTTGAAAAACATGTCATTTTATGAATCCCTTTTTTATTGGCTATAGAAGCTATTTCTAGATTTTTTTGCTATTTTAAACAACACTGTAGCGAACATCCTAGTAGGAGAAACCTTTGAGAGAGCAACTACCTTTGGGATCATTCATTTACGTGTCTGTCCTCAACCCCGAGTTCCGTCCTTTCTAGGCAGGGTCTGCCTCTCGTTCATTTTTATGAACTTCAGGTCTAGCTTACCCTGGTTCACAGCGGGCATCCCATAATTATTGGATTGAATTGCTCCTCAGGAGCTTATGCTCCAGGCAGATTAGGAAGAAGCCCACTTCTCTTTCTTAAGTGTGTAGGCGTCCCCACTGCCTCTTTGCTGGGCCCACCATTCTTTCCCTTAAAAAAACATTCCCAGTCTAGAGCCGCTGGCTGTCATCCGGGAGGCTCAGTGAACCACTCTTCTTTTCATCTCTTATCTTCCTGGGCAAACCAAACCTTGCTTCCCCTGCTGGGACCCTCCCCCTCCGGACCCCACAGAGCCCCATGCAGCAGCCCCCTCTCCAGCTGCCATTTCTGACAGCACAGGTCCTTGGAGGTTCCCCATGGCACCGCCAGCCCTGCCTCTGTCTGGGGCCACCTCCCATGGCACCCAAGCGCCTTTGTCCTTCCTCCTGGGGACTCTAGGCAGATGCTGTTATTCTTACTAGTACCCATGAGTAGAATCACATTTTGGAGCTTGAGACCTTACTCCCAGTCTTTTAAGGGGGCAGGGGGTGGCAAAAAGAAAAATCAAGAGGGTAAAACTTACTAATTTAATTTCCTCTCCTCTAGTATGCATGCTCCCAACCTCCAGGAATTCTCTCTTCTTCCCCCTCTCCTCTCCTTCTCCTCTTTCTGTCTCTCAGCTCTGACCCACAGTCTCCCACCCTCCTGTCCCCCTCGCCTCTCCCCTTCTTTTTTAAGTTTTTTTTTTTTCTTTTAACTTTCAAGGTCATTCCGGACTCTGCCGCCGCCAGTCCCTTGGTGAGACGTGAGCGCCATTGGCGTCCGTGGCCTCTGTTTCCGTGGCAACCCAGTAACCATTAATTTTCAATTAAAGGAGACAAAAAGCTCGATGACAGCTCCAGGTCTGCTGAAGATGTCAAGAATCTGTATTAATATACAGCAAGAGAGCATAATTGTGTGTCCATCTTCCAGAGCAGCGAAAAATGGAGGGATAATTACCGGCTCGAAAGCCACTCTGTAATTTAGTTCTTACTGTCACCACAGCCCTACACATTAGCATAAATTAAAAGCAGAGTTTATTGTTATCAAAGTGCATTGATATCGCCAGACCCGCTTTCTTCCTTTTAACTGTTTGTTGTGGGTGAGTGACTCCCCAACTCCTGCAGAGGTCTCCCTGGATAGGGAGAATGGAAGTACCGGGGTGCTAGACCTGCAAGGTCACGGCTACTTCTGCCATCCTTGGGGCCTCAGGGCAGAAGAAGACAAGGGTCAAGATGTTGCCTGTCTGATGGGGGCTGGGAAATGTGGGGGAGCTTGGATGTGAATTCACCTTTCACATGGGAAGTGCTTTGTTTGGCTTAAGAATTTTCYAGCTCTTTCCAGAGGGGACCACTGCCCCATGTCAGATCCTGCTGCCCCATCTTGGGAATAGTGGAGGGCAGGCAAYAGATGCTCAGCGCCAACCTGTTAGACAAAGGAATGAGCAAGGGCTTAGGGGTTTCCTTTCCCGGCTGCATGCCGGAGGATGGACCTTCTTACTTTCCCAATTAGGGGCATGGTCAGCTCAGGTGGAGGGAGATACCCCCGGAGAGGAGCTCAGTTCCTGCTCCAGCGCCTGGGATCCATGCTCCTCAGAACCTGGGTCTGCTGGGCCACCCACTCCTGTGGCCGGAGTCCTGCCATGGCTACCACCCTGCAGCCTCACTTCAAGTAGTCGGGGCGCCTTGAAGTGTCTCTTAGCCAGTGTGCCAGTGACAGCCGCAGAAATCATGAATTTCCGTGAATGGGGATGCTGGGTTTTCTTGTGTTCTATCCAGAGAGAGCTGTCCTTCAGAGGGGAATTTAGTGTAATTACCCTTAAGGGAGCGATCCTTACACAGTCAGTCACAACACTGACCTCCTGGCTGAGATTTGACAGCAAAATTACAGGCTGTGTGCTCAACAGAAGGGGCATCCTCCTTTATTTTGGGAGGGGGGAGGCGGGAAGGAAGGGGGAGGAGGGAAAGGCGATACAGAAGCTTTGAAAAGAAAAGGGCTGGCTTACAGCTGCCAAGCACATGGGTTCTCCTTGGCACAGTGTCCTGGGGCAGGGGGAAGCTACCCAGAGATCCCCTGGCCCTTCAGCGGGTTGGTGAGGTGGCTCTCCAGCCCTTTAAATCTTGGAGCCCTGGCTTGTGATCTTTGCTAACGTCAATCTTATTCTAGATAGGGTTGGAGGGTACTAGGAACTATTTGATAAACTCCTCGGGCATGTTTTCCCAAACACATCTGTCCCTTGGCCCTTCCCACAGTGCTGGAAATTCTCGCCACTCTTTGTACCTTTCAGTGAACATCTGAGACCCTGTTAACCTGCACCTAGGTGCCTGCCAGGGCTCACATGCTAATCTGTAACCATTCCAAATATAGCCCAGACTTATCTTTCAGATGTGCTGGCCTGTCACACAGCAGGACACTAAGGACATAGGCCAGGTGAATTTTACCTGAACTAATGGAGAAAATATCCAGGGACTTTGAAGCCCAGGAAGGAGTAATGGTACACCCTAAATCTCAGAGCTTGAAGGGGCTCTGGAAATGGGTGTGTTCTGATGGCTCCTAGAACAGGACCACGCCAACCTCTGCTCCACCTCCACCCAACACAAGAGCTCAGCACCCCTAAAGAGGACCATCCAGCCACATGACACGGGAGGCCGAGGCAGGAGGATCATAAGTTCTAGGCCAGCCTGGGCAATGTAGCAATTTACCCTGTCTCAAAAAAAATTTTTTTTTGAAAGGACTGGGGATGTAGCTCAGTGGTACATCTGAGAGCACCTCTGGGTTCAATCCCCAATACCAAAGGGAAAAAATAAAAAGAGAGTTCCATTCCACTGTTAAATACCGATCACAGGAAATTTCTCCTAGACTTTTTTTTTTTTTTTTTTTGCCAAAACCTGTTTCCCTAAAATTCCTATCTTCCTTGTGGAGACTCAGGAACAAATGTGAGATGGTTCTTCAGCTGCCTGAAGACAGCTCAACTGTCCTGCATCTTCCCCTCCAATTCTAGGTCCTGGTTGGCCCATCCAGCTCCACCACCCAAGGAAGAGCCGAAAAGGGTCCTGGAAAGACRAGGAAGGGCTCCTGGGCAGGCACAGCACTTACTGAGCAGCCAACATACCTCCTTTCATCCATCCCAACCACCAGGGAAGGGGAGGATGGATTATTCTCACTTAGTGGAGAGGAAAGAAAAACCAGGCAGAGCCATGGTGGAAGCTGAGATTCCTGACCCAGGCTGAGGACTCTCCTTGGGAATCCAGGTGCCTTTGCTCTTAGACCCGTGGGGCACCGTTGCATTTGTGCAATGAACTTGGTCCTCAGTCTCCTCTCTCCTCATCTCCAAAGCTTCCTTCTTTTTTGCTACTCAATGGGAAAGGAATTCCAGGGAAAACCCTGCATAAGTCCTGCTCCTCCCCGATGGTTCCCCTGCCCATCGCAGCCCTCGGTGGCTGATTCAGGGACAACCACAGCAGTAGTGGTTATTTACTGACCGCAGGACCCTGCTCCAGGGCTGTGTACCTGCTTGCTATTTGGTGTTTGATCCAGTCCTCCAGGCTTTGCCCTGGCTGCAGTTCTACCCAGGCCCCTCTTGCTCACACGTCTACATCTCTTTCAAATACCACCTTCTCAGGGAAGCCACCCCAGTCCTCCTTCCGAAGCCTCACGCCCTGCCCAGATTCCTTCCATGGGTCAGGTTGACCACAGAGAAAAGTTTCTTTCTGTTAGGTTTCATGTCTGTCTCCCTTTAAGTCTCCAAAGGGCAGAAGCTGCTTTGTTTGTGATTGAATCCCAGGCGCCTAGAACAGTCCTGGGCCTTAAGTAGGTGCCCAGTCCGCATTTGTCAGTTGGAAGGAGAAACCTGAAGCCCTGTGAGGTGAGTGGTATTTTCACAACAGAGAAGAACTGGAGCTCTAGCCCTGGGTTAGACGGCTCCTCCAAGGTCACAGAGCTCTCAATACCTAAATGCAAACCCTGGTGCATTTTGGGTTGCTGAGAATGAGCCTGTTTTTTTTTTTTTGGGGGGGGGGCGGGGCAGGCCTGTTCTGAACTTTCAGTATGTGGGAGAAGGGGACTGGCTTCCTGTGGGATTTCTGCCTGCATTCTGACCAGCAGGTCCTCTTCCCTCCTGTACAGGGTGAGAAGGGCTCCTTCTCTTCTGCAGCTCCCCCTTTCTTGCCCCCAAGTCCATGGGGGGCCCACAGGTGCAGTCTAGCTCCTCCCTCCCCTGAGGACCCAGGTCCCTGCCTGGGCTGAAGTCCATACCCAGGAGTCTGGGGCACCCCTGGGAGGCCCCTGCCCTGGGCTCTGAGTGGCTCCCCTCCCCACAGATGTAAATCCGGGCCCCAGAGTGGCCACACAGAACATACATCTTAAACAAACACTTCTCCTTGCTGTTTATCTCCCTGGCCTTTAAACAAACTCTTTCAAAGGTTTCTGCTGATAGGAGAGATTTACTGAAAACCATTCCTTACTTAAAAGCCCTGGGTTTATGCTGCTGGGGAGGGGGCAGCGGGGCCTTCGGGCCTGGGGTTTCTCTGCCTCCGGACCACATGTTTATCCTCTGGGCCTTGATAGAGGAGCAGCTCAGACTAATCTTTATGGAAAAGAAAATAATAAAAGCAGGAAAGGGGAGGGGTGGAAGTTGGGGGAGGTTTGGTTCTCTTTGCTGACTCCAGGAGGCCCTGGCAGGCCGGGGTGTGGCATTGCCCACCCTCAGTGGCAGGGAGGGGTGGGGCCCCGTGGACTTTGGACAGAAGGCCCTTGGGCAGGTGACTCTGTTCTTGGGCTTCCACCCCCCTGGCTGAGGCCAGAGTGGGCCTCTCCCAGCTGGGTGGGGCTGTGGGGGGTGGGGAGCAGTCACATGATAATGTCGACATCTCTATTCCTCCCTTCGGCCACCATTCAGGAAGCCTCTAGTGTGTGCCAGCACCTGGGGGTACAGAGATGAGTAATTGTTAACATTTACTTCAGCATTTCTGTGGCCTTGTGTGCCATCACTTACACGAATTAACACATTAAAGACAATGGGCCCCCAGAAGGACAACCTGTAATTAGTGCTGCATGTGGGGAAATCAAGGCACAGGGAGATACCTGGGCCATACCCGAGAAATCTGGGCTTCACTGAGATGCAGCCTGGACATGGGATTCTAAAATGCATCCCACATAGGGACTTGCTGCTGTGGAGAGGTGTCTTCCTGTCCCCGTCTTCCCAGGGACCTGGTAGTCCACCAAGACCAAGGAGTCTCCCAGCCCATGGAGAGCAGTAGTTCTTTCTTAGTGGAATGTAAAATAATGGTGCCTCTTACAATGTCAGGTTCAATGAAATCAGTGACAGGGAACTAACCCCCACCAGCTGTGGGCCTGAGTTGCATGATTTTGCATATATTATCTCAGTTAACCTACCTCCCGAAACTTCAAGATCAGTCAAGGAGCACCTCCCATGAGAAATGGAAGGCACCAGCCAGGTGCAGTGGCCCTCGCTTGTAATCTCAGTGGCTCGGGAGGCTGAGGCAGGAGGATCGCAAGTTCAAAGCCAGCCTCAGCARCTTAGCGAGGCCCTAGCAACTCAGTGAGGCCCTGTCTCTAAATAAAATTTAAAGAGGGCTGAGGATGTAGCTCAGTGGTTAAGGGCCCCTGGGTTCAATCCCTGGTACCAAGAATAAATAAGTAACTAAATAAATGTAAGGCACCAAGACCTCTGGAACTTTCTCAAAACCTAGTGGGAGGCGGAGGCAAGATTTGAACCCACAGTAAATGGCCTGATACTTCTTCCTGACCCTTGAGGCACTTTATATTTCTCAGACTCTCTTCACATCCTTTGTCCACTGAAGAAGACCCTGGAATGGCCAATGGTGAAGTGACCTGTTCTAAGCCCACACCTGCCTTCTCAGCCTGTGCAAGGGGAGTTTTGTCTGTTTGTTTGAAACCTGCCTGGGCTTCTGTAGGTGGAAGCTGTTCCCAAGGGAGCACAGGACCCGGGAGGGGATTCGGGACAGTGTGGGGCTGTCCTGGGGTTTCTTAGGTGCTGAAGGCTGGAGCTGTGGCCTATCCCCTGGAGCTTCCAA